CATCATACTGTAGGACAGGTCCCCGGATTCTTCACAAAGGGGGAGAATGTCCAACTCTGCCAACTCCCGTCAGCATGGAGGAGGAGCTGTCCTGCCTCACCAACAAGACCGTGTCACTTGTTCCTAAAATGTCTCAGTACCGTCCGCTTCCTTCCAAACCATTAACCGAATCACCATTCTCTGTGCCACACAGCAATTACTCACCTGTTATTGTACCACGTTCTGTTCTGGCTGCCTGCTGCGTGCCAAGCCTGCCCCCTCATCCAGGTCTATCTAATGCAGATAATTGCACGCAGGCTGGCTGTCGTGCCTTCTTATCCTCTCTGATCGCTGTATTGAATGGGATTATATCCTGGCCCTTTGTGTCCAGCCAGTCTTTAAGGATGTGCCTGCTATAATATAGTTCTACAGTATATAGATCAGGCACCATTGAGCTGAGATATGATCAGTCCCTACAGCCATGCGATTTTGGACCAGGTTTTAGATGATAAAATACAGTATCTGTCCTAAATCATTCTCTTTCCAATGTAATGTTAAAAGCAATTCTTCAGGGAGCTTTTAATAATTGTATTGGCTGGCAGTGGTCCTAACACAAATTAGGTGCATATACAGTAGTAGAATGTACAGCTACAGCTCTCCTCAGTCATATAACAACTTCAGTGAGTCCCTGGCTTTCGATTTAGGGAACAGTAGGGCCATTCTCTGCCAGCTCGCCTGCGGTAGAGAGGATTAGAAGAGGAGATTAATTAACACAGGCACCTTGAGCCTTAATGTCAGGCCAAAGTCAGTGGCTGTATATAGAGCAGCCAGCCTGTCAATTTATTTAAAAACTAATGACCACTATTACTTTGCCCTTTTTTATAGAAATCTAAGTGAAACAAATGATAAACTTAGAAAGGTCTTTTCCAGTTTAAACTTCACATTTAAACTTCACACTTTTTTTTTGCTTTATCATAATTTTATAGTAAATTATCTGTTTTACTATATTTTTACCATGGTGCTGCACAGTAAATTATGATGAGGGATTCTGTATTTCTTTTTATATGGCGAGAAATGAGGAACAAGGAAATTAAGAACCTGGGTAAAAAGTGGGAACTATTAGCAAGTACATTTAGTTCTGAAACCTGCGTTTCACAGCACACAGAGATGTGGGAAAGACTGGATGGGGTTTTGGGACCGTTTTGGCAACGACAGTCACTCCTGCGTTTCGAAATGACAAGCTGAAACACTTCTCTCATTTGCACATTCTTACACTCACAGCTGATGAACGATAAAGCCCTGGGAAAAATGTAGCAGCCAGACTGTCCACACGATTGCAACTCACTGTCAATGGAATCCAAAACACACCACCTGCCTCTTGGCCAGCAGGCCGGTGTACCTTGTCTCATCGGTTCTCCTGAATCACAGTGCAACTGCTTGGTCCTTCCTCCTCTAAGGCAGGGGTGTATTTGGAGGGTTGCTCGGTCTGCGGCTTTTATTCCAGCTCAGCTTTAGGCACTCAGATCAGCTCATTAGTGGCTTAATTTGGCACAGGTCAACAAATCCTGCTGCTTTAAAGAGACCTAGAAAACCTGCAGCCACACTGGCTGGGCCTCTGGGAGCAGAACTGTACAGCTCTAGTGTTAGAGAACTAGAAAGATAAGGAAGGATATGAATAAGAAGCGGCTGTTCGGCCCAAATAGCCTGTTTAGTACTTAACTGTCAATCAATCCAAGCACCTAAACTTGAAACAAACCAGGGTATTTACTTCAACAACACGGCTGGGCAACCTGCTCCAGACTCCCACTACCCTATGGGTAAAGAAATGCCTCCTGTTCTGAGATTTTAAATCACTTCCATGTAGTTTCCCCGGGAGCTCTCTGGTTTGTTCCACTGCGTCTCAAGAGCACGGATCTAATGTCTATACTGTGCATGTGTCACAAGCATCAGACCTGAGGATATCAGTCCCCACTCCTCATGAAGTCCCAGGGGGTTGCTCAGAGATGCTTCTCTGATGAGTGAGGGACGAGACCTACACCAGGAACGGAAGAGAACCGCGTGTCGAGCTGGTCTGCAGCCGAGCCTGCCCAGAGATCTTCAGGATTTATTAATGTGGACTTAAAAGTGACTCGCGAATGATTTGGCAGATCCTGCACTCATGGTTCTTGTGTGAAAACGTCAGCTGCTGAAGGAAATAGCATCTCCTTGAACACACGACGATCCCCACACAACTGCTTGCTTCACTGATCGATCAGGACGGCTGGGTTCTGTGCAGCCCTTTCACATGCATTTTGCTCCGAGTCCTGCCCCAGGGGCTGTTTTTGGGCTCAGAGTGAGGCGCTCAAAGCTTTAAAAAACACCCTTCACTGGCTGTATGTTTGGGCCACAAACAGGGTGTATTTTCCTGCTGATACAGTTCACAAAGTCAGAAGTAAAAGCTGAAGAGGCTTCCCCTTCTTTATTATAATTCTTCTTTAGTTTCTGCTGGCATTTTATTGCTTCAAACACACAGCTAAAACTTGTAAATAACCACAGCTGTTTCCTAGTTTGGAAGTCCATTATTAATTTAAAATGTCTTGCATCGTGTATTCTTGGTTTCTGATTACTTAAAAAGTGTACAAAGAAAGACACTAGAAGGAAGATATGCCAGAAGAGTTTAACAGCCAGATATTTTAAATGTAATATTTTGCGTGTTATGTTCTTAAATTGGAGAAATACCAGACTTATAATCAACAGCATTTTGTTGAACTGCTTTGAGAAATGAACATGGTTTGTAAAGAGGGACAACTTCTAACCCAGACTTGATCATGTGTTTTCCAGATGTGATGCTAGTATTGCCAAGTTATCTGGAGATGTCACTGCAGCTGGCCAGGAGGTCCACAGACTGCACAAGGAGATCGTGGACGTCAGGGCAGCTCTAGACCTCCGCCTGAAGGAGATGGAGCTGAAGGTCAGGGGTCAGGCAGCAGTAGAGTCCAGTCTGAAGGAGATGGAGCTGAAGGTCAGGGGTCAGGCAGCAGTAGAGTCCAGTCTGAAGGAGATGGAGCTGAAGGTCAGGGGTCAGGCAGCAGTAGAGTCCAGTCTGAAGGAGATGGAGCTGAAGGTCAGGGGTCAGGCAGCAGTAGAGTCCAGTCTGAAGGAGATGGGGCTGCTGTAGAACAACTTGAAAGAGACCACTACTGGTATTCTTGTTTTTTTCTACTGAAAGGCAAGCTGTAATGTTTTGCTGAAGCTATATACTGGATTGATGTGACTGGTGAGACAGAAGTATTGATAGTATGGAGATCCTCAATAAACCAAAGAAAGATAAAACTGTTCAGGTCCTGTTTCCCTCTTGTCCTCTGCAACTGGACTTTACTGTCCTGCCATTAATATTATCAATGGAAAATGCCTGAGACAATTTTGCAACTGCGATTCATGGAATCACTATGCATCCCATACTTTGACTATGTTTTTTTATCCAATTTACGCAATCACAGAAAGCTGTGTTTACCTATTTCCTTCTGGTACAAAGGTGGTGAAGACACCGGTGATAAAGCCAAATCAAAACAAGAGCCTGATGTACAATCCTCTTGTACACCTTTAGAGTTGGGTGCTTAATGCTCATGAATTATAAAAAAGCACGTGATCAGTGTCCAGTGTATCATGGACTGGGGGGGAATCAGGCCTCTGCCTTTCTGACACCCTATCCGAGCTGAAACTGCTGCAGCAGCAGGCACTTCGGCCAGCAGGACGGAGGTGCGCTGTCCTCAGCCCAGTCCTGTTGCTGCAGGTCACACAGGTGCTGGAGAAGGTGGAAAACTCCCTGGCAGAGCAGAGCTCCCGCATGATGGCCACACGGGGAGACCAGCACCACGAAATCCAGCTGCTGGAGCTCAAGTAGGTTTTTACTTTTCCACTGACGCACTCAAAGCTCAGAGTTTTCCATCGGTTTCTTATTGCTGTACAACCAAGCACCAAAACTATACAAATGCATTTTGATTTTTAAATACTAATTGCGGCTGATTTAAAAAGTAAATACCGCAGCTGCACACCGAAGCATTCACAGTGGCTATGTGCCGTCCCTCCGGGTGAGCACGAGGAGCGAGTATCACACAGCCGCTGTCCCGCAGGACGTCCGGAACGCTGGCCGAGCTCAGAGGGCTGATGGAGCGGCACCGCGAGTGGGCCGAGCAGCAGCTGAGCGGGTCGGAGCGGGCCCGGGCCCATGGCGCCGAGCAGCTGCGCGCGCTGCTCAGGGACAGACTGGTGAGACCCCCGGGGCTGTTCGCACGCTAGAGGCCAGGGGTAGGGGGGGGGATCTCCGATTTCACCTCCCTGCGGATACGGGGAGTTCGGGTTGGCGGCCCTCACTGCTGCACTGACGCTCTGTACGCAAAGAGACCTCTCTCTCCCCTTGAAGGATCCAAACATTTAGCGAGTAATCAGAAAGGCCAGGCTTTCTGCTGGAGAGCATGCCAAGGGGCTGATAAGCACATGTACAGCAATTACTGCCCTTCTGATGGCTGTTGTGGTGTGAAGGCAGGACACCCCAGTGTTGCTGTTCAGCTAGACATGCTGACTAAGCTGTGCTTGCAGCAGAATTGGTTACTGTCTCAAGCGGGCCGACACCCCAGACTGGGTCAGTAGGGAAGCAGCACTGTGCCTCACAGCGTTGCAACAAGAGTGGATTTGAGAACAAGTCAGGCCGGTTCAGACAGCTCCCTTCAAGCTAGGAAATGAACAGGGACCCTCTCTTGGCCTCTTCAGCCGCCTCTGCCATCATGAAACACACACTGTAACCAGGAGGGTTAGTCAATTAGCCCACAGCAGTCAGAACTCCTGGAACTCTATCCTGTGTGGCTGGGGCTTAGAAAAGATCTTGGGAAAAGCCTGGTCTGACTCTATAATAGCTGTCAGAGCTGCACAGGAACAAGCAGGGGAAAATCCCACACTGAACAGCAGACAGACAAACAAACAGTTCAGCCACGGATCCCCATCAGCTGTGAGGATATTATATTATTATAGCTACATATAAATAAGAATATATCCTTGCATGAAAACATATTCATGGATTTGACAACAATCCTTCCATCCATTTGCTAACTGCTTCATTCAAAAGAGCTGGAGCCTGTCCCAATGCAGGGTACACCCCACACAGGACACAAGTCCAGCACCGGGCACAGACACACCTTTGAATATATTAGTAACGCAAAGGAAAAAAGCTCATGGGAAATACTCTTTCAGTTTTAGCTATTGATGTGTTTTGAATGCTGGATCTTTCGTAGATCCAATCAGCATAATGCACTGCAAGGTCTAATCTGATTAATCTGCTACATCAGGTCAGATGCATTTACCTTGCATTGAGCAAGCAATAAAGAAATCAATACCTGTAATCGCCATCTCCCTCTCTTACTAATTACACTACAATCGCATTTGCCCTTCTGTAAAAGGTAGCCATCAATGTCTCGATGGCCTCCTAATAACCCCTCATCTATACACTGGCTTCATGACTCTGCTCTCCTCCCCACTGAGAGCTGGTGTGTGGGGAGCGGACTGGCGCATCACCCAGGTGGGGCTGCACACTGGTGGGGGTGGAGGGGAGCCCCGTGACCTGTAAAGCTCTTTGAGTGGAGTGTCCAGAAAAGAGCTACAGCAGTGGAAGGATTTGTTTTCCAGGAAGAGAGTGAGAAGAAGCTCGGAGAGCAGGTCAGTGGCCTGGCTCTGCGGCTGGAGAAGGCCGAGGAGCAGCAGGAGCTCGAGGTCAGAGCCAACAGGGAGAAACGGGCTGAAGACCGGCTGAACACCAGGATCGGGGAAACTGGAAGCGCGGGTCTGGGAAGAGCTCGGCCTGATCAGGAAGGAGTACAGATCAGGTGAGCACAGTCAGTCATAGACCAGCGCTCCTGGTCAGTACCGCCTGCTGGGAGCCTGATCCACAGCCGAGCTGCGGGGTGTTCAGAGAGGGATATGCAGAGACTGACAGTCTCCCTTCCGGCCCCAGCTCTTTCAGAGAGGGGGAGATACTCCAGTAAGCAGTATGGGCAACACCAGCCTAGATCAGTTCATGGACCGCACTGAGCATCAAAAATCACTGGTCGCTCTATTTTTAAAGTAAACAGATTTTGGAAATTGATTACCCATTTTGACCACCTTTTGATTGAATATAATTCATTAGCTAACCCCAGGTTCTTTAGTGACCGTATTATCTCATCATAGATAAACAGACTGCATTGCTAGGAATTGTGCACACACTACCAGCCTGTGGCTTTCATAACAGCCACTCTACTGGAAACGGACGTTAACCCGAATAAGGAGTTTGCCTTCAAGGCATGTCTGTTGAAATGCACTGTTCAAAACCAAAAATATTAATATTTAGTATCCTAGTTAATTGCTTCAGGATATTTAGTCAAGAAAAAGATACAATTGTAAAAATGACTTTCAGTCTAACATATAGCAACAATAAAGACTATTCTCATCTCAAGAAATACAGTATGGTGCACAATCTCAGATCTCGTCTACTGTATAAGTCTAGGCCAAATGCAGTATTGAATTCCTTAAATCCAGCGCTTACAGAAGTCGTCTTCTATTGAAAGTAATTACATTAGCTACTTTTTACAAAAATGCTGTACACAGAATCACAGTCCACGAGTGCTGCAATCTGTTTAACAGGGTTCCAGTCGATCCATGATGCTCTCAGCTCTTTGAAGGAGATTAATGAGACCAAGTCCCGCCTGGACAAGGAGAAACTCCGAAAGGACATCAAACAAATCCAGAGGAAGATTGTTCAGCTGAAAGATGTCTAATAATCTCGAAACGCCAATACAGGCTGCAGATTCATACAAAACCTCATGCTGTGATAATAGGACAATCGATTTGATTCAAGTTGAAACACAATTACAGCTATGAATGTCAACAGCATTCAAAACGTAACCACTTTTGAAGAAGCTTAAAACGAAAAACCACACAGGGCTAATTATGGGTTTCGGCATGTAAATTGATTGTAGATGATAAATCTGCCTCATTAATCCTGTTGATTCTTCCTGTGAGGAAAGGACTTCAGTTGCTCAATTAGATGAAATAAAAAGCAACAGCCTAGTTTTCACACAGGCTGCCCCCTTGAGGATGTCTGGATGTTTTGCAACAATAACACTGTCAACAGGTCTACAACAGCTTCAGGCTACTGGCCCCCTTTTCAATAATAAGAGAAGTTGGTACCAAGTGGCGCAGCGACGGGATGATTAGAGCTGCTGCCTCACAGCTCCTGGGTCCCGGGTTCAATTCCGGCCTGCCCCCCCACCCCACGGTGCAAAGCTACGACAGGGATTCTAAATCACCGTGAACACAGGAGCACGGGAATCCTGTTGCCTTGGGCAGCGGCAGCACGCCCCCACCCGCCTGTCAGTAACCTCACCGGCCAGCCGCGCTGAACTCGTTTCCCATCCCGAAGGGGACTGCCGCGTCAGGGCCTGGGGTCGCCCCGGCCGCACCGAGCCTCGATCGCTCGTTCACGGGAGGGCAAACCCCTGCCCAGAGCCCGCGTCGCGCCAGAAGAGCATCAGCAGCGAACAACATCGTCCCAGGCACTGTACTGTTCGTGCAGGGCAGCCACAGCCCCTTGTCCAACACGTGTCCACTGGGCCGCTGACCACAAGCCCAGGCCTGCGCCTTTACCCCCCCCGGTAAACCTCTGGGTGCGTCTGCCCACTGAGGGCTCGGGGAGTTTGGAAAGGACTGCACCAGATCCTCAGATCAATTAATGAGTGATTACCAAACAGACGAGCCGAGGGACCTCCTCTCGTTTGTAACCTTCCTTATTGTCCCTCTGGATGGGGTCAAAGTGACAGGTCCACGAGGGCAAGCAGCCTCGTTATATAATTAAGAGCTCAAGCAGCACAGTAACCAGCAGACACCGTGTCCTCACAGCTGGACGCTGCTGCTCGTTTATCGTCAATCTCTGGAAATCAACATCTCTTGACTTATTTAGGAAATTATAGAGAATAACTGTAAAGTTACTTCATGCTTTTTGTGTACAAGCTGCACGTTGTTATCTGTTTCAGTGTAAGCAGACAGGACAATGTAATCCCAGAGTCCACTGGGAGACACTGCTGTTTGCTCACTGACAACACTGTATTAGTTTGTCTGCAAACAAATCCACAGTTCAGACAGCTCTGTAAGGGTACAGATGCAAAGAACGATTCTGAAACGAGTGGTACGAAGTGAAAGACACTAACACTTTGTTTTGAAAACAATTTTCTGCAATGGAAAGCATGCAGTAACTTTTCTAATCATGTATTATTTCATACGAATGCAGTATTTTCATGTTTCCAAATAAAAGATTTTCCCCACAATTTGCTCCTTTCTTGCTGAATGATTTATTTTTCTGTAACTGTCTTTATTAGAAAGGCGGGCTACATTCGCTGATACCTCCCCAGAACCGAACGCAGAAATCCTTGGGAGCAGAAATCATGCAGAACGAACTGTATGCATCAGGTCTCCACCGCACTGAGCGTCTTGCAGTCATGCAATCAGGAAAGACTTCACAGCAGCGCAAATCCTGATGGAGAAACCAGAACATTCCTGGCCTCTACTTTCTCAGCGTCAAGAGCCCAGCGCCTGCAGCTCTGCAGTACTGTTCTAGAAGCAGCGGTTTCGCAGGTCAGGTGCTAGTTGGGAAAGCAAGCTCTGTCCCCAACAGCCACCGCCTGACTTTCTCACTCCCCCTCGGAGAGGACCGAGAGCCCGATGAACACGCACGGAGGGGGAGGCTGAATGTGCCCGAGGGGGTGTTTCGGCTCATGTTCCAGCCCCGGTCAGGCAGCGCGGAGGCTGTTGCCCGGCAAGAGCTTTAATGGGCAGAGGCAGAGCAAAGCTGCCTGTGAAGGTCCTCCAGCCTGGAGTCCCCCAGAGCTCTGGCGTGGTCCATCAGCGTCTGGAAAAGAAAAAAAAGATGTATTTATGGCCACAGTTCGAATGATGCATTTAACAAGGATGTGGTCTCTCATGCAAGTTGCATGAAAGACCACAAAGATATTTCTACAGCACTAATTAGGCTGCCTTGTTGAGATGAATTATAGCCTCTCCACATCACAGGGTCCACACTCTCTCCACCGTCTACTACAGTTTCTCCAGAGCATTTCCTGCATCTCTTTTCCTGACCATTAACAGCTCCCACACGTGGCCTGCGCTCCTGCTCAGAGCACTGGGCCAACGTGGGAGGATCTGCATTCCCAGCCCGCCCTGAGGCCAGACGGCGCTTACGTCCATGAGCTCCTGGTCATTCTTGGCGTGCAGGTGCCTCAGGAGATACCAGCTGGCCACGGAGGTGATGGACTCGGGGTACCCGGGCGTGTAAACCACTCTCTCCAACAGCTTGCGAGTCTCCCTGGCAGAACAGACACGAGAGAGAAAAGGAAGCATCACTTCAAGCGCTTCGTCGTGCTGGCGGGCGTGGGTAACCGCCGGGAGTTCAGGAAAAGGATATTTGGTTTCCCCCAACAGCCGAACCCAACGTACTCCTTCTTTCCTGCAAAGCACCACATCTTACAGCGAAGGTCAAGCTTCCAACTTGCCAAACAGACACAAAAAGCAGTTTGATCGGCTGGTGGAGACGGCAGGCTGATAAACACCAGAAAGCAATCAGAGTTCCCAATACCGCACGACCGCCGAACACAATTTATCCTTCGGCTTGCAGGGAGGATTTGAACCCGGCACAGACCTGGCCCCCATCTTCCTGGAGAACTGCAGCAGGGCCTGGAGCAGGAGGGCCAAGGGGCAGGAGGCCAGCTTCAGGGCTTCACCAATGGCCTCCTGGACCAAATCCTTCCACTCGCTGCTCGACACTTCGGCCTGAGAGACAAGGGAGAACAAATCAATGGAAGAGAGCCCCGGACATGATCGCGCTGCCAGCGCATGAGGAGCAGGAGCACTGGGGCACTGGCCAGACCTTCCAGTGCTGCCAATCAGAAATGCATGCATCCCTTCTGTCTGATTCTGAGCCGCCATGCGTTTGTGAGAGATCCCCACTGCAGACATAACAGCCCAGTAGATCTGTCACCTATTTTATTTTATTACACCTTGCACATGACTCCAAACTTAGAGAGAGCTCGTAAAATGAAGTGACCTCAGATGAACTGGGAGCAAGATGCTGCTATAGTTCGGTTTGACACCCCTGTGGCCTAATGTACAAGGCTCCTAAGCCCGGGACTTGGGTTTGAGCCCCGTACGGGGTGGGGAGAGCTCTCTGGTTTAGCCTGTGAGGTCCGGCTGCAGGGCGCAGGTGTGAAGTCGGGCCCCCCGGTGGTCACTCACCATGCAGGGGCCGAGGGCCAGCAGCGCCAGGTGCAGCAGGCTGGCCAGCTTCCCGCTGAAGAGCCCCAGCTGCGACGCCACCTGCAGGCCTTGCCGGTAGCTCATCACAGCCTGCACCAGGAGGCCCTGCGTCCTGTACACCTCCGCCAGCCACTGCAGCAGAGAGAGAGAGAGCGAGAGAGCGAGAGAGCGAGAGAGCGAGAGAGCGAGAGAGCGAGAGAGCGAGAGAGCGAGAGAGCGAGAGAGAGACCACGGGGCGTCAGCACCCCAGCCGAATACCAACAGGTACCAACTGCACCTCCATAGTGTCACATCCACAAGCTATACTGCAACAACGTGACAACTTTTGCCAGGCACTGTACTGTATACATACACGCACGTAACACAACATGCAATAATGCTACATAGCTGAAATACAGTGTCCAATACCAAAACCAAGTGCAGCATACAAATGAAGTATAAAGAATGAATTATACATACAGGACACTGCACCTACAGCATATATTAATCACCCTCAAAGGGCTATTTCCACATGGGACATAACAGGCATCTATCAGATTAAATTAATCTGTAGCGTCACAGGAAGCACCGTAATAAGAGTGCAGTGTTTAATCTCCCCGACAAGCAGTGCAGGCAGGTGTCAGTTTCCTGTGTGGATTCTTGCCCAGGGCAGAACATGACACCTGATCCTGTGAGTTGTCTGCGGTTTCTGTGAGCAGTACATCACCCGCTGACAAAACTAATAAGAACAGACAGAAAAAAAAGCGCCGGGCAGCGTCGATTTTACATTTCAGGAGCTAAAACGAAACATGGCACAATCGCGGTATGGAGTAAGACGTGGTCGACGATAAGTTTGTGAGTGGGTTGACATATACAGTCAAGGTAAAGTGATCAAATATCAGTTAAAGGTTTAATCCATATTTTCCAGCTATTGCTCAGAGGCTGTTAGGCTCTCTCTCTCACGCTCGAACCCGGGGACCGCGAGGAGCGACTCATCGCCGGTGGCGGTCACTCACGTGCCAGGCGGGCACCGAGCTGCGGTTGGCCTGCACTGCCTTCTGGAGCTCCTCCAGCACCCTGTCCGGCAGCTGGGAGCGGGACAGCAGCAGCTGCTCACACTGGACCTGCCGCAGCAGGAGGAAGACTGCCGGCTGCTCGGGGTCCGCGCCCAGGGCCTGCGGACAGACGGCACGGGCCTTCGTCAGCGGCAGGGACTCGCGGGGCGGGAGAGGGCCCCGCCCCCCCGATCCCGGTTCGGTGGCCCCCCGCCCGCGCTGGACTGACGGCCCCCCAGCCCATCTCAGCTCAGAGCTCGAGAGGGGTCTGGCCTCGGGAGACGAGATTGCTCTCTCGCCAGGCCGTGAGGAAACGGGCAGGGAGCGAGGGAGAGGTCCCACTGCCAGACAGCTGCTGTGGGGGGTTTTAAATCGCACTTTCAAGTTTAGAGAAAAAGCCCTCTGCAGCCGCCAGGTCCCTCAGGTGGATTCCTGGTTTCTCATTTGAGTTCAAATGTCCATTTGCTAGGAAGAAGTAGGTGACTCTTGAAATGTATTTAGTCCCAGTGAATAACTGACACTAACCTACTCAACTGCTCCACATCTCTCAGCAGCGATGTGCGAAGATTTCCATCTCTGCACCCAAACATGATGATCAATTCCTAACAATCTGAGACTGATGGTGTGTAAATTCATTGTCAGGTGTGTTTGTATGGGCTGCTGCAGTGTGTACTTCGGTTTATTCAAAACTTTTCCTTTACAAAGTTATTTGCATAACATTTTGGAGCAGATCATGCCAGGTGTTTATGAAAATTGACCTGTCATGGTCAGATGATGGAACAGCAGATATTTCACTGCAGATCTGCAAAGCTTCACACAATTATTCAAATTCTAGGAAATCAGTCTGAAGATCAGCAGGCCAAGAGCTGTATTTTAAAGAACTTGTTTGTTTGTGATTTAGGACACGTGCTCTAATGGGGGGTTACTGACCTGGAGGAGAATGTATTTGAATGTATCCGAGCATGTGAGCTGTACTACAGTACACTGCCTCTACCATACCCACCTACAACACACGCAGCTTCTGCTGGGAATGAGGAACCTGTGTTCAAGCAGGTGAGCTTTACTCTTCTGTTTCGATGTTCGGACTCTTTCATCTCTCTAAAGCGATTTCTTGCAGTGAATAACGATCTTCATGTTCCGCAGCAAACATGCTTAAAACCGAGTTGTAGGAGCTTTCTGACCATCTGGATTTCACATCTCACTCCCTTACACTTGACTGCATGGGCACATGCAGAGCTACACTACTCCTTAGCTTTTTAGGTCACTCCTTTACACCTTTGTGCAATAAAGTAAAGACATATTTAACTCTATGTTCAATAAGTATTACTGAAACGCCGTCATCCTGACAATGGCATGACTGCTAGGAGCTGACCTAGATCAATCCATAAGCAACGAAATAAACAGCCTAGTTCCGAAAAATCGTCTGGGTAACTTTTCGCAGGGGGAGGAAAAAAAAGCTAACTTTGTCCCTGGCACAAGACCTGAAAAATCTGGGTCACTAATTTCAGACATTCCCTAACCAGAGCAGCCTTCCTTTGAAATATTAATCCGATATTTTTAAATTAATGAGTTCCAGCTGATGTTTAACTCATGCTGCGCCATGGGTACGACTTCCTCCCACACTGTAATGGGAAATGACTGCCTGTTCTACGTGTGTGGAGGTGCAGGTCAGAGCCCAGAGCCCAGAGCCCAGAGCCCAGAGCCCAGAGCCCAGAGCCCAGAGCCCAGAGCCCAGAGCCCAGAGCCCAGAGCCCAGAGC